TTGCCCGCCTCCTCGCGCGGACGGATTATTCTCTCCCACCCGGTCGGGCGCGCCATATCGCCGAATTGGAACATGCACGGTCGCTCTTCGCACTCCGGACAATCATCCTCGAAATGGAGGAACCCACCAATCCGGTTGCGGGCGAGCAGCGAAGGTGGCAGCATTCTCGTCAGCGTGTTAGCATGAGTAAAAGCTCAACAGGGGACAGGGATAGTGAGAACCTTTGGTCGGCCGCTGAAAACGACTTTAGCTTCTTTGGAGAGGAAGGGGAAGAACAGGACGAGTGCGGGATCTACCAGCATGACCCGGAGAAATACTTCCCTACTGCCCATTTTGACGACAAAATTCTGCTGGGCCCCGAAGACAACCCGCCGGAAAGTGGCTCGAGCAGTCCACACGGTAGTCTCCATGGGTATGGGACGTTGTCCCCATTCATGATGAACTATGGCGGTTCTACTGGGACGCTACGGAGTCCGAGGAACCTGCCATTGGGTCGGAATCGCAGAAGTTCGAATGAATCTCAGCGAAATGGCACCGTGCGGAGTTTCTTGAACGAGATGCAAGGCGCCCCGGTGTCACCCAAGTTTATGAATGGCAGGTTGCGTCCACCGTCGAGAGATTCGATGCTTCCGCCGACTTCCAACCCCGTGCAGCCACCAGAAGAGGAGAAAGTGGATGTCATCGCCGACGTCGCGGCGTGGCGAAAAGAGCGAAAGAAGGCCTACGAAGACGAATTGGCGCGATATCGAATGACTCGTGGAGGCGGTGTCGCGGGCCGATCGAACAGTATGACCAGCCAAAGCAATGGACATGGAAATTCGTCATCTGCACCGAGAGGTTACGGATATGGCTTTGACCACGGAGCCGGGCCAGGATCACTCGCGTATGCACATACCCACACAAATGGCAATTCAGCGGCCAACCAAGGGAACCACACCCCCTCTGGTAGCTCGACTCATGGTGAGATTAACGACCTCGATATGAAGTTTGTTGAAGGACACTGGAAGGGCGAGATCAAGGTGATTAGAAATGCGACGCCAAAGGGCCGAACAGGAGTGGTGGACATGTATGGCAACTATTTTGAAAAGGGATATTTGTATCCCTGAGCACGATGACAGCACTGAGCGGCCGAGCGTGAGCGATCTTTTTTCGCAGTCGATGGCGATTTCACCTTGCGTCGCAGTTTTTTGATGGGGATACGACAATGAACTTGTACGAGCGTAGGCGTTTCGGTGTTTTCTTGACAATGTCTGTCTTGTAACGTCGAGTCAATGTATGATTTGTGTATGTCACACATGTATATCACTAGATCACCAGATTTCTACCTATTGGGAGTTATCATGCCCAACAACCCAGTACCTACCTAATGTTCGAACGATGAATGAGTACCAAAATGTCTTCTTTGGAGTCTCGTAGGATGTACTCAACTCGACTCGACTCGACTCGACTGGTTAGGTGAGGTGAGGTGAGGCGAGTCGAGGTGAGATGATAGATTGCAACACGGTATAGTATAGCGCAGCGTAGCATAGTGTAGTGTAGTGTAGTGTAGTGTAGTGTAGCATTTCCCCCACACAGACTCTGGATGCCCACGACGAGGACCAGATACGGAATGGCATGCATACATAATTACCTTACTATGCCTAGGTATAACGGCAGCGACAACAACCACTTTCTCCGAGGAAAAGAAAAAAAGAATCTCCGTAGATCGATCGATTATATCTTCTCTAACTATGCAGTAGGAGCTAGGAAGCTGACTAGGCTCGGCACCTAGGCTTGTAGGTACAGATAGATCCGGTACCCATGCGCCTCTGTACCTCTCTCCGGGGGGGGGGGACCCGACGGTTACTAGATAGAAGAAGATAGGTCCACAAGTCACGTATGTAGACGTACAACTCTCGATAACGTACACACACTCATATGCATCCATCCATCCATCTGTCCACCAACCCATAACTCCAAGGCTCAACTCGATGTATCGTGGTATCATCTTGCTTAAGACGGGAAAAAAAAAAGACAAGACACACGGCATATAGCATGGCATAAGACGCCTGTATCTCGCCGCGATATGCAGAACACTCCGCTCGAAAATGCTGCCGCCGCCCTCCCACCCAACCACCCCCCCTTTGTAAGATCCCTTTTGCTCCGTACCATGCGAGGGAGGATATCCTCCCTAAGAATTCATTCCCCGTTGTCTGGGCGCAAATCACGCACCAGAGAATCAGTGCCGGGACTCTTTTGTCCCAGCTCGGCCGTCGTGATGGGTATCATAAGGTTTAAGGCCAATCCGTATTCATCAAACCTCCATCTCCAGTGTACGTTACCCGGTCGGTGATTTTTCATCATACCCGGGGCTTCCCGCACAGTTGTCAGTCTGTCAGCTCATGCTAGACGACAACCTGTCGCTGTGCCGTCTCAGTGACGGCCATGGGCACAGCACATTGTGGGTTCAGCTTCTTCAAAGTCATATTGGTAGTGGCGAACAACTTGTTCTTGTCCTTTTCTCTGATTGTCTTTCTGGCTTGCGATTTGGCAAGGTCAACATCTGATATGCAATCCTCGCTTGCATAGTCTTTCCTCTCCATCGAGACTGGCTCGACTGTCCCTTGCTGCTGTGATTGTTGCAGAGGCCAGGTCTTGCTAGAACTCATCTGATAAAGCTGTGGTGTTGGGGTCGTATCTTGATCTCTTAGCCTTTCGAGATGACTCCTGTCAGACTTTTGCGAGTCAGAGAGTCCCACACTGGTACCGTGTCCGTGGTCTCTGGCCTGGACAACATCGGCTTTGCTGAAACGGGGTAACTCTTCACTCGTAGAGTGATAGACCATGGGATTTTCGGCCAGTGGTGGTCCACCAAAGCGCTCACCCAGACAGCGCAGGATGGCGACAAAATATTGGTGCAGGAAAGTAAAGATGTTTTCGTCGCCTACGATCTCTGCTAAGCTACGCGGTGTAGCTTGCCCAACCCGCCGCGGGTGGCCGTCTGGGTCAACCGACCGAGCCGTCAAGAAGGAAGACACAGGAGTGTAATTCCTGGCGGTCGATTTACCACTGACGTCCAGGGACTCGGCCTCCTTTTCTTCTTTGTACCGTTGCTGCTGAGCTGCTGCCTCAATGCCCTTGGCCATCCGGGCGAACGATTCCCAAAGCATGGGACAAGCTTGAAACGCGCGACTGGCATCTTTCCCTGCTAGGGCAAGGAAAGCGTAGGCCCGCCGTCGACCCCGAGCTTTGAGATCAGTGAGTCGAAACACATATGCAATGGTATAGCCCGTATTTGAATCACCGAAGCAGAGAGGGCCGTCTGACATGCCTCGTGGGAGGAGTTCACACGACAAAGTTCGAATGACCGAAGCACGTAGTTGCGCATAGCTCTCACGGTCGGCGGGAGATTTCGCGGTGAGGTATGTTAACGTGTGATCGTGGCAATCATCGGATCGATGAGACCGTGGATGCGATGTCGTATGGAACGAGTCAGATGACGTGACCGATGAGCCGTAGGACGAGGGTTTGGACTCGTCGGAGATATTAAAACTGCTATTCCTTCTCTTCCTCTCTCGTAGACATACAAATTCTCTTGAGCGAAGCACGGGTGCCCCTGTGTTGACTGGATTTTGATGATCCGCCCTCTTGCTACCAGGTGCGCCGGCAGGGAGTCTTTCCGCTACTGACTTGGGGATGGAGAAACTGCAGCTGGCACAGGTATCGTCTTGATTTCGACCATAGCGCCACTGTGACGAGAGCGTCCGTGTCTGGTCAGCTGTCTGAAAGAGCGGGTGCTTCTCGATGGTAGGGCTTTCAGGTTCTGTTTCTGAGTCGATCGCGGTGGATGCGCCAGAAATGTCGGTAGGCCAGGTGGAATTCGTGTCGGTTTTTCTCAGTGTCGCCGGTGTCTGGAGGGCTTGTGAGGATTCAAGGGAGGAATTCTGGACCTGGGTAGTAAGTGATTCGGTGGATGAAGACGCTCTTAGAGGAGGCGACGGTGGAAGGCATAGTGCACATTCCAGCGGAAGGACTTGTGTACAGAGAACGGATTTGGGGCCATGCGCCTCGCAGAAATGGGTGAGTGCGAGAGTGAAGTCCATGGTGTTCTTCTCGTCCTTCTCTCTTTGTCTCTCCTTTTCTCTCAACCTATCCACAAACTCTGCTACAGTCTGAGGAGGTGGACGTTGCACATGTTTCGGTTTGTCAGGCGGACGCAGCGGGCTGAGGCGGGGCCAGCCATGAGTGCCTGTGTTATAAGGGTGGCAGTCGACTGTCTTGGGTGAGGGTTCACTTCAGCTCGGCAGTCAAGTCGAAGCGTGAATCGCAACGAGGTGAAGATGACGATCAAAGGGGAGGGTAAGAGCTCGTGTGCTCGATCGAAGGAAGGGAGCGAAGCCTAGGGACGTAACAAGTCAACTGGAACCGCGGGTCCGGAACATGTGGAGATTGGCGTCGTTGGTTGCGGGAAATTCAGAGATCTCGATGAAGATGGTCTGACGGTGCCAGGGAGAACAATACTTGTACAGAACAATGGCGCTGTCCGCAGCCAACAAGACAAGAAGTTGTACAAATAGTTTACTTTTCAGTGGTCTCATTCACCTTTGTCACGGGTGTTGAACAAGTTGAGGCAGTGATGATGGTCTGGCCTTTTTGGAGGGCTTGGAGGGCCTTTTTCTGGCGCAGACCGCCACTTGTTCCACCTGTTCGATGGATTCTTAGGCATTCGGCCGCATCCAATCAGGCCTGGCTCGATGACTGAAGTCTCTTGCGATCGAGGCAATTGTGGGCGACGCTCGCCGCGAGTAATAATCTTCTCGCCCATTTGCCCAACCCTTCTCGGCTTCTCTGACTTGCATCCGCCTGCAGTCTAGTGCACCGTTTGCGCCACTACTCATGCGAGAGAGTTACCAACTAGTACTCGGCCGCGCCAGTATTCGTTCTGCTGATGCTGGCTTGGCTCAGACGAACTGCTGCCGATAGCCGTCTGCTCAGAAACGACTGGATGCTCCCTTGCGCAGTTATTTTGTTTGGCTGTCGGTCTTCTTTCTGTACAATTCCCTCTGCGCCCAATCTGGCTTGAATCTCCCATCTGTGGTTGCTTTTGGCACCGCGAGGGCTACACGGCGATCTTGTTCCTGGATCTCATGCACCTGCAGTTCGCCTGCTGTAATAAGAGTGATCTTCCTTTTGGGGATGTCGATCTCCTGCACAAGAGCGAGCCCCAAACATCGAGAACACTCTGCCAGAAACGGAAAGGAACTTTCCAGTTCACCTTGCTGCTGCCAGAGCGGGAGATCTTCCTCCGTCCGAAATATTCCGTTTCGTTGACCATGCTGATTACTTGTACCGATTTCGCTGACATCACATGTTGCATTTGCAGCAACGGGGGTTCTGAGTGCCAATACAGCAACAATACTTCCTTCCAGCGCATCATAAGTGTCCTCAGGTGCGACATGGCCTCCAAGCAGGATGATTGCCGAGATATTTGCGGCAGTACCCCCGTATGTCAGGGCCAGAGACTGAGATGCCGTTACTAAAACCGGAGTGTCGTCCCAGTATGGGCGGTCGAAAGGTGTGTCTCTCACATGGAAGTATGATTGCATCTGAAGGTCATGCTCCCGGACCGGAGATATTTTGTCAAAGACCTGAGCCGGAAACTGGTGGATGCGACAACTTCGCATCTCTGCGAGTGGTTTCCACGGCTCTAAATGGGGTGATCCTGGGCTGGAGTCCAGACAAACAATATCAGACGGAGACAGCTTCATCCAAAGCTTGGTCGCCATGGTATTGTCGATGCCATTCAGCCACTTTCCGCATGTAACAAGGAAAGGTGCACCCTCGAATTCGCCGCGACATTTTTGTTCAACATCCAGTAAATCCAAGATGCGATCAATGTACCAGTTGGCCAGGTCTCTTGATTCTACCTCACCAAGGAAATGTTTTGCCAACACCCGGCTGGATCCTTGTCGATACGCGGGCAGAATATTGGCAAACGGGGGGCCAAAAACGGGGTTCGCAATATGCACTAAACTGATCATTCCTGGAGGAGCAAACTCTGGCATATCCGTGTCTAGGTCCAACAGGATGACGCCTGTCTGGTAGGTATTATCTGTTCGGGCGGACTTTTTGGTAAGAAGGCGATTGAGAATACACCGCGTCAAGGTCGAAAGCCCCGATGAACGTTTGCCGCATATTAGGACTCTTCGTGGCGTGATTGTATCAGGAGCGGAAAAGTCTGTCAACAGTGGTTTCCAGCAGGTGATTTCCAGCTCCTTCAGACGCCGTGGAGCCTTCGGATCTTGTTCGAAAGAGTGGCCCAGCACGTAGAAAGATGACACCGCGGGGTTGACGCCAAACGGAGTCCACATTCCCCGGAGTCCGACGTAAGGAAGATCCCTGACCCCGTCGTCGAGAGAATCAAGTTGAATTTCGGCACTCGAGCTCAGGGCTTCAATCGGAGCAAGTGCATGAGTGGCGGGAGCATAGATGCGATAAGTAACCGTCGTAGCAGTAAGAAGCGCGCCGTAGAGGGAAACAGTTCCTTGCTTTACCCACAACGTGTATGCTCCCAATACAACACATTTCTGAGCAAGTCAGTACAACTTCGCCATGTTCGCTTTGATCATACCTGGCGTCGAGAGAGTTTGATCTTGACTGATCGCTCAGTCAACTGCTCAATTTCTCGAGTCGAGCTAAACTGCACTGCAGAAGCTTCAACAAGCGTTGCAAACTGGTTTGAACTCTGGATCCCTTCATTCTCAGACGAGCTGGCGCTCTCCACGGGCGGAACAATAGATGCAGCCTCACTTAGATTGGACTTTGATTCTGGTGCAGGAGCGACTTCGCGGGAACTCGATGTAGTCTCCTGCACATCCCGCAAGAGCCGCCGTCTTGCGACTGCGCTTAGTTTTCCACCATCTGTTCCACTGTCAGCGCCTTTGAGCTACCGTAAATGAGATTTTGACGTACTAGCTGGCATAAAATGAAGTGATAGAGAGCACAGGATCGCCCATTCGCAGCTGCACACAAAGTCGCTGGATGAAAACCCTCAGACGGGCTATACCATATATGGATTAGCTCCGGCTGTTCCCGCCTAAGGCTATTTGATGCTTGCAGATCCACCTCTTCAAATTTCTCCAACTTTTTTTATTTCACTTTGATAACACTCTGCCTATACAAGGCTTTACCTACGAAAATTCCCAGACATGGGCAAAACTTCCCCGGTAGCGCGGGAGAGTGCCCTCAGCGAAGCTCGAATCTACGATTCGAGCGACGAGGCTGAAGACAGACCTACTTCGAAGCGGAAAACTCAAAATTCAAAGTCGAGATCATCTCAATCGAAGACTCTGAATGGTACCACTTCGTCGTCGAAACAAAGTCGGGAGGTGTTGACTTCGAATGCCTCATCTTCCACAACAGCGTCAGATAACGAGACCGATGAAGGAGAAGAAGAATCGGGCGACGAAGAACGAGAAAGAGTAGAAGACGAGGATGAGGAGGGTGACTCAGACCAGGAGTCAGCATCAAGTTCGAGCTCTTCACCCAGCCGAAAAAGACCATCTCCAGGGCCCCCAGAGACACCGTCAAACAAGAGGATCAAACCTACTACAAAACATAAAGTCAGCATTCCTCCCAAGCCCTTCAAACCGCCTAAAGGCTACGAACCGCTCACGTGGTCGGCATCGGACTATGCATCCGACATGGATCTCTTCGACGATTTGTCCAATAAACAAATTTGGCACATCTCTGTACCCAGTTCAGTCTCCATCGACTCAATCAAAGAGCTCGACATTGAGGCAGTGCTGAGGGGACAACCGATCCTGAGTCGGAATGGCGTCGATTATGGCATGAACCCTCTGCCGCCCAAGGACGAAGTCATCCTCCTGCCTCGCGGCTCCGGCGGGAAGTACAAGCTATGCTCCGGGAAGATTGAAAGGAGCTTCCACATGCGGGAGGTCGATACGACAAAGTTCCAATCTCAGCCAAAGGCAGGGACGCCGGTGGTCTTCACAGCAACCCAGACTGGCGCACCCAAACAAATCCGAAAACAGCCCGAAGGACTCAAGATGCGCTATGTGCCTTATGGGGCCTTTCCGTCGCAAGCGCATGAGCCAGAAGATGTGGAGATGCGTGATACATTGCAAATTCCACCCGACGTTGACCACCAGGCGCTTTCTTCCCCGGCACAGTCTAGAAAAGCACGACAGAAACAGGCCAATGGAGAAGCAGGCAACGAAAAGAGTCCGGAAAAGAAGCTGCGGGGTGCAGACACGCCAGCCTCGAGCGAAAAGAAGAAGAAAAAGAAGCGGAAGCTGGTTGATGGACAGGTCCTGTAGAGGGAGTGGATGAGATGGTCCGGTTGATAGATTTCCCTTGCATGGTGCTGATGGGTGATGGATGGGATTGCGGTGTTTGTACTTGGGTATAGCACATAAGCCTGCATCTGGTAAGCTAGCTATTTTCAAAGCGGGCGTAGTAACGATATGCTCCACCGTACCTATACCCTAGCGTGCCTGGACCAACCGGGTGACAGACCCTGGCAACTTTTTTCCCAAAATGTGGCATGAATACACTTTTTCGCGGGGAAGTATCACACGCAGAAAAGAAAGAAAAAAGGTGCTCCCGTGTCCCTCCATATTTTTGGCAGTCCGCCATTCTCTCTCTTCCTCTGTTCCTTGTTTACTCCAATTGTCTGGCACTCCTCTGCTAGGCACTACCTCTGAATCACAGCTGTCTTCACAAGCATTGACTTGTAACAACTTCAGCAATCATGGGTTCCGCACCTACGAGCAGCTATGCTCTCTCCCAGACTCATCGAGAGGTAAGTTTGAGAGGGCAACTCTCCTGTGGTTCTGTCATGCTACTACCCCATTCCTGTCAATGGAGAGGATTTAACCTTGCTAACTGGAGATTGTTTCTTGTGGCTGTATAGATGCTCGAGAAGTCCCTCGTCGACTCGGACCCGGAGATCGCAGAGATCATGGTACGTCGTCCCCTGGCCCTACCTCAGCACCGACCAGCCGACCTTTCCCTGCAATCACATGCGTATATACATGTATAACATGCTCACACAATGCTGTATGCATAGAAAAAAGAAATCAAGCGTCAACGCGAGTCCATCATCCTCATTGCCTCGGAGAACGTCACCTCCCGGGCTGTCTTCGACGCCCTCGGCTCCCCCATGTCCAACAAGTACAGCGAAGGCTACCCCGGCGCGCGTTACTATGGTGGCAACCAGTTCATCGATGCCATCGAACTCACGTGCCAAAGCCGGGCCTTGAAGGCCTTCCATTTAGACCCGGAGAAGTGGGGCGTCAACGTACAGTGCTTGAGCGGCAGCCCCGCAAACCTGCAAGTATACCAGGCGCTGATGAGGCCTCATGATCGGTTGATGGGGTTGGATCTGCCGCATGGAGGACATCTGAGTCACGGGTATCAGACGGCGCAGAGGAAGTAAGCAAGAACATGCCCAAAACATACGTCGTTGATGCGGGATGGTGTACTAACAAAGACTCAGGATCTCCGCAGTTTCGACCTACTTCGAGACCTTCCCATACCGAGTCAACCTCGAGACTGGCATCATCGATTATGACCGCCTCGAAGAGAATGCGCTGATGTATCGCCCCAAGTGTATCGTCGCAGGAACCTCCGCATACTGCCGTCTGATCGACTATGCCCGCATGAGACAAATCGCAGACAAAGTCGGCGCGTATCTGATCGTGGACATGGCACACATCTCTGGATTGATCGCCGCAGGTGTCATCCCAAGCCCCTTCGAACACGCCGACGTAGTCACCACGACCACCCACAAATCCTTGCGTGGTCCTCGAGGCGCGATGATCTTCTACCGCAAGGGTGTGCGCAGCACAGACCCCAAGACCGGGAAACAAATCCTCTACGACCTCGAGGGCCCCATCAATTTCTCCGTCTTCCCCGGTCACCAGGGTGGCCCGCACAACCACACAATCACCGCGTTGGCAGTCGCTCTGAAGCAAGCAGCGACGCCTGAGTTCCGCGCGTATCAGGAGCAGGTGATCAAGAACGCCAAAGCGCTGGAGGTTGAGTTCAAGGAGCTGGGCTACAAACTTGTTGCGGACGGGACAGACTCACACATGGTCCTTCTGGATCTCCGACCCCAGTCTCTGGACGGCGCGAGAGTCGAGGCCGTGTTGGAGCAGATCAACATTGCATGCAACAAGAACAGCATCCCCGGAGACAAGTCGGCGTTGACCCCTTGCGGCATCCGCATTGGTGCGCCAGCCATGACCTCGCGCGGGTTCGGCGAGGAAGACTTCAAGAAGGTGGCCAGGTACATTGACGCGAGCATCAAGCTGTGCAAGAAGGTCCAGGGAGAACTGCCCAAGGAGGCCAACAAGCTGAAAGACTTCAAGGAGAAGGTGAGCAGCGAGAGCGTCGACGAGATCTTGAAGTTGAGGGCCGAGATCGCCGAGTGGGCCTCGAGTTTCCCCTTGCCGGTGTAAGCTCTCTTCTCTTTCCTGGGAAGCAAAAAATGCAAAAGGTGTCATGATGTGATGTGAATTGGCGTTCCCTTTTTTTCCCCTGGCGATGTATCTCTGGCCGCAATGCGTGCGGTCATGATGGTGTGACTCTCAAGACTTTTCAACGACTGTGGGAACATTTATGGGCTGGCGAGAAAGAAAAGAGCGTGGAATCTGTATCTTCAACGATACCTGCCTAGTTCGACTAAGTGCCGTCTTTGAATTTGGAGGCTGACTTGCAGTCAATCAATCAATCAAGCAATCAAGAAATCAAGAAATCAAGGTCGTGGAAACTCGGGTTGGCCGCAATAGCATATCATGCATGGCGTGTTAGCCAGATGATAGCATAGGATCTGAGCACGAGCACAAACGCGTCCGTGTGACAAGACAACGAGATAAAATGACCAAAAATCGATTGTTTTGTCATCCTTCAGATCTCTCAAGAGTGCTTCGTATTTCCATTCTCGTTCTGTTCATCCATCCCTGCCAGTTTTGGTGCTTGTTATAATCTCTTGAGCTTGTTCGTCTTCTTCTTCTTCTTTCATGGATCCTGGCTGAACGTCCTGTCCACTGCGGCGGTGTAGACGGTCTGAGTCTGTCCTTTAACGGGACAATCTCGTTCTCTTCCCGTCTGTTGCGTAGGGAAATCGGCATTCTCCTGGTGCGAATGGCTTTTTGCGCGGGCGAAAGGGCCTTTTGGGTCGATACCTGGATGGTACAGACGTAGGTAGTTTAGTAGGGAGTCTGGGACGGGAGGCAGAGAGCCAGCGCGTGCGTTTAGTTGTGGTTGTAGCTCGGGTCATTCGAGTCGGCTTCGCACCGGTGAATTTAGTCCTTGCTCATCCATGGTCTTTGTGATCCTTTTTCTTCTCTTCCCCATTCATCCTCCTGCTTCTCCTACACCCGTATCGCCCTCCTTGATCCCTGCCTTCGCCTCCTGATCCGTCATCTCAACGTCCCGCACCTGTTCGCTCCCCGCCTCGGCGGCGACCTCTCCCAAACGAGCCAGCCGCCCCTTGAGCCCCTTAATCATACGCTCTAACCTGCGGATCTCGTCTTCCTGTTCGGCCACCGTCCGGTCCACGTCCGGCAGCGCGGTCACCGCCGCGCGAGCCTTGGCCAGGCGCTGTTTCAGCGGGTAAACCTGCGCGGGGAGGTCTTTGAGGTCGAGGAGCGGCGCGCCGTAGAATAATGTCATTGTCGCTGCTGCTCCTGTCGTTGTCGTTGTCGTTGGAGCTGTTGCAGCTGCGCCCGCACCGGCAAGGGGAGGTGGTGGCAGCGGCTGGCTTTGCTGCGACGGTGTCGTCGACGGGGGGTTTTGAGACGCCTGCTGCCCCTGCTGTGATGACGATATTGACAAAGACACCGAAAGTGGCTGTTGTGTTTGGTTGGCGGTGCTTTGTTGGTGGTGGCCGTTCGTCTGAGCTTGTGTCTGTGCCTCTGTGAGGGGCCGCAGATGCTGTCGCTCTGGGTTCAGCAGGTCCAGCCGTACCAGAAGAAGCCAGATGTCAGGAAGGAACGAGAACGTCGAGGGAGAAGGGAACGGTGGGATGTCGGGGTGCGCTGTGGGCGTCGCTGGCGTCGTCGCGGTGGTGGTCGAAGCGGAAGGCATGATTAGTTTTGTTTCCCCAAGTCCACTGCTGGGTGCTGTGTCTGCTATTGCTGTGCGTTAGTGGTTCCCGTCTCTTTAGACACCCGGCCCCGTTGTTCAAGTAAACTAAAGAGAACAAAGGGATAGGCGCACAAGGAACCACAGTCTGAGATGACAGATGGGAAGAGAAGCTTCAATTGAGATGGCCCTCTCATTCTTCACAAAGCGGAGAAATTTGGGGGGAAAGAATAACGCGCTTTGCTTCGGGACGAAAATCCATTGATTTAGCGCAGCCTTGTCCCGCGCGGATGGAATGCGGGGGGGGGGGATCTCAACGAGGCTGCCTGTGTGGCACGGGTGCAAAGCTCGACGGGCAAGATCTCAGATCTCTTGGTGTTCGGGTCCCTACCTACTCGGCGAGCTAGGTACCGTTCTCGCCGTCCCGTTGTACCTATAAATACAAGGAATACGAGTATAAGTACCGAGTAGGTATTCCAGTTTACAGTAGGTACCTAACTCGGTACATTTGTAGGTACTCGTCCTGCCTTAAAACCCTTCTGCCATCTTCTGAAGAAATCACCTTTCTACCTTCCTACCTTCCTCTCTCCCGCCTCCCTTTTCCGTCCGTCAAGGTCGTATAGTTACTCGTCGAGTCGTGCCGTCATCGACTTTACTTTTACTTTCTACCTACTTCTATCTTCCACCAAAAGAGAAGCTTGGACAATCATGGCGACGAAACAGCGCATGGTCAAACTCACGCTCTACGCGCGACGCAAGAGCCACCTCTCCGAGGACGAGTTCCAGAAGTACTGGACGGAGACGCACAGGGGCCTGGCGGTAGATTGGTTGGCAAAGTATGGTATTGTCAAGTACACACAGGTCAGTTTGCTCCCTGTTCGAAGTATTTATTGGAAGCCTCTTGAGAGGATGGCGATGCCATGTACAACCCTTCTGTCTCTCTTGCCGTTCTCGTTGGGGATTCATAAGCCAGCTTCAAAGACTGCTACTACACGTTGCTAGGACGCCTGTGATATGAAATACCTTCCAAACAGTCCGCTCACTCTCGCATCGGACAGTACCACACGCCTTCGGAGCTCGTTTCAACCGCCATAGCAGGGTTTCCGGCGCTCCAGGGCGTAAAGAAACTCACCTTTGACGGCATCGGCGAGTTTCTCATGCCCGAGGTGTCGTGCTTCCACAAAGCCCGCGAGGACCCGTACTACGCCGAGGTCATTGCGCCGGACGAGGACAAGTTGTTTGACTGGAACACGGCAGAGTGGACCATTGGCTGGGAGGAGGTGTACATCAAGGACGGGAAAGTCGTGGACATGCCCTTTGGTGATGCTGGTGAGGTGTCCAAGTCCTGATTGAATATTGTGGTGGGCGCGGACGGGTGGGATTCATCAACCCCCCTCTAGGATCTCCAGCAGGAGCAGCGCCAACACACCGCTTCAATCCTGTTTCCCGTATTTGGCGCCTGACAGGCACTAGATTCATATATCGTTGAAACCAATGCAAGTCTTTTCACCGAGTCCCTTGTCCGCAACGGCCCAAGCCCACGCCCTCCCCGCCTCTCCCGTATACAGAGCGACAAGCTGGTCGTCTCGGCCCGCATCCTTCAACCACCCGAAATCGCCCTCCAGGGCTTCGGTGGACATGCACGCCAGGAAATGCCGAAACTGCACGTCGTCGTCCAGGGCCAGCGCATTGCCCGCTATGCCATGACACAGGCACGGCTGTTTGGTGAGCAGGCCCCTCTCCCAAATGTCCTCCTGTGCGGCTTTGATCGCCGAGTCGATTTTCCCCTGCAAGTTGGGGAAATGTGGGCGAAGGCATCTCAGGGCTAGGACGACGCCCGGTCCGCCATGGCAGAACTGGACCAGTCTGTCGGACCCCGGTGGTAGAGAGGACGGGAAGTTCCCGCTGGGGAGTTGCGTGTCGAGGAGGGACAAGAGGAGGTGCTCGACAGCCTGGGCGCACCGTGGAGACGAGACGACCAGCTGGCACAGGATGCCGAACGCGCCGTGTGCGGCGCCCAGGTACGCCTTGCCGTGCCACGTCCACGGCTGTTTCGAGGACAGGATCCGCCGCACGGTCTTGTCCATGGTGGCCTCGAGCAGGTCCCTCGCCCTTGAGCCCTCCTCGCCAAACCCAGAGCGCGCCAGGCGCAGGAAGTAGAGATATCCCGCGCGGCCGTACAACCACTCGTCGGACCCGCCCGTGCCGTTGATGACACTCTCGTAGGCACATAGTTCCTGGGCGAGGCTGGGATCCTCCTCCATCGCCGCCCGGACGGCAAGCTGTGCGAGGACCTCGTTCCCAATCCCACAGTGACTCGAATCCACCGCCTCACGGCGTCTGGTGGACTGAGCCCCCAGGTCCAGATATGCCTGAGCCCAGTCCAGGAGTGATTGGCCCTTGAAGGCGAGGTCCGGGTAGAATTGCGAGAGGCGGTAGAACAAGTACGCCACAGATGTCGGGCCATAGTAGAGGCCGTGGAAGGTCCAGCCGGTCGAGCATGTCTGGACGGGAGGGTTGTGGATGTTGATGCGCGTGAGGGAGGCGAGGAGTTCTTGGTAGGCGTCGCACGCGTGATGAGAGAGCGATTTGTCGTTTGGAAAGTGTCGATTTGACGAGCTCATCTTTTGGACTGGGGATCTAAGCTCTCTCTCTCTTTCTCTCTCTCCAGCAGAGAGATTGTAGCCACGCTCTTGCTATGATGTTGGGGAAATTGTGAAGACTTGAAAGGACCACGTTGACTGAACGCGAGAGGCACAAACTTGCGATACGTGCCTTACATCATCTTGACGCCTTGTCCGCTGTCCGCTGTCCGCAGCTGCGCCTCCAACACAATCCATTCCCTTGCTCGTCCACATCGTCCTATACAGACCCTGCGTTCATCTAAATGTTCTCAATGATGGATCGACGGCAACAGATGGGCATATTTCACATCAAGGATCTTTTCGAATCACATGACCAACAGGCGAGCTACACCAAGACATACACAGTTCTAAAGAGGGGAAGCAGGACAAGGCTTCACCATTTATTTGGACAGACAATCGATACATTTTTGCCCTCCCGTTGTCTCAATCTCACGGAGGTGTCGATGCTTGGTTCAAAGGCAGTCTTCGCCATCTCACCCGAATCATACGGTCCTCTCCCTCGAACTTGGCCGGATCGTCCAAGCTCAACTCCAGGTATTTGCCATCGCTCTCGTCGACAAATCTCATGATCCTCCTCTGGATGTCACCGACCAGATACGGCAGGTTCGAGTGCCTCATGTTGTGCTTCAAAATCGGCCGTCCTTGGGCGTCACCACGTTCGTCCAGATAGAATGCTCCCGTATACGCGACATAGTTTCGTCCCACAGCCGCCCAGTCGGCATCTGAGCCGGTCTTGCGCCCTGCCCACTCTCCAAAGGGCTTCTGTCCTGGCGTCTGGAGTTGGGCCGACATGTAGCCATCGGGGGTGTACATGATGATGCCCTTTGCATCCTGGCCCATTGGATAGACTCTGTTTGATTCGTCATGGGGCAGGTAGGCGTAGTATTCAATCAACTCCCATGCGCCAATCAATTGAGAGCGGATAGAGCCTGGGTCGCCGGCTGCCATGGTTGCTTTCGCCGCTAGAGTTTTTTTGGTCGAGGTCGATATAGAAGGATGTCAACAAAGACCAAGCTGGGTCGCGACAATATCTATCCAGCTCCCCAATGTCAGCTGATGGGAAGCCTTGATTCTTTGCGAACAGATGATAACCGAAGCTCGGTTGCTCCCCGCCTTTGCTTGAATAAATAGTTCTCATTTCACTCATGACCAGTATATGCAAATCGAAGATGTTTCAGGATAGCCGAACGCGCCGAGGAAAGCCTCAGAATTTCCCCGCGCTACTGTACGAGCCGTCAGGGATGTACCTGGTGAGGGATCCCAAATCAGGCAATCACTGCCTTGGTTACAATATGCCGTGCGTCGGTTTGAGGGATTGCAGATGGGAAGGAGGACTCCCCTCGCTTGTTGAAGACGAGGCTTGTAGGGGGTGGACAACTTAAGACCGACGTCTTTTGTACAAAAGTCTAGATAGAAGGCGCTTCACAATACTGACTCTGTAAGATTTGGGCCAAAGAGCTTGTAACAGACATGACGGAGGTCAAGATCACCGACAATGACATTGGTAAGCTCAAAATCAGGGATATTCGGAAGCCCAAAATATCAGCAGATCAAGGGGAACTGACTCGTCCTGTTGTGTAGGAGACAAACTGCGGGGGAAATCTGCGATCGTGACAGGCGGTTCTTCAGGTCAGTCTATCGTCGACATGGTCCAAAGGTATGGCCAGTTGTGCTGACTCTGGCGACCAGGTATCGGCCAAGGTATGCGGTTGTTGTCAACTTTGCGCAAAGCATTTCATCCTCCAGCGCAGGTCAGCATTATGGTGCCAGACAAGCCACAGGAAACCCCCTCTCTTTTGTCAGATTGCGAAAAATTGATAAGAGGCCGGGAATGACTGTACTAGAGGTCACGTGGACTATCTTAGCATCTTTTCGAGCATCCATTGGAGATGATAAGAAACACTGATTCCAGGGGCATAGGTATCGTGCATTACTTGACCAAGTGTGGCGTCAAAGTCTTGATCGGTGATGTGCAGCCACCGACTCAGCCTATCGATGGTCCAGTGTACCAAAAGACGGACGCTGGAAGCTGGGACGATCTGCTTGCCCTGTTCAAAAAGGCTCAGCAATTGTTTGGTCGAATCGATATAGTCGTACCCAACGCTGGCTTTGGTGACCGTGGCAGCTACAACTTCAAGCAGGACGCCAATGGTGATCCCATCAAGCCCGAGTTTGACTGTCTCAGAGTCACTCTGATCGGCCAGATGTATACGGTGAAGTTGGCGCTGCATTATATGCGGTACCAAACTCCCCAGGGCGGAGTCATCGTGTCGACAGTGTCTCGGAGTGGCTATGATTGTCAAGCAATAGCGGAGTATGCTGTAGCTAAGCATGGAATGGTAGGGTTGATGCGTGGACTGAGAAATCACACGCCAACTTGGAACGTCCGCTTGAATTCGATCGCCCCGCACATCACCGACACCGCAGCGACGAGAAGCGTGGAATGGTTGATTCCAAAGCTCAAGGAGGTCGGCATCCCTGTGAGCACGGTCGAGGAAACAGCCCGGGCAGCCGCATTCTTGGCCGCAAATGAAGCATATAACGGCTGTACCATTAGCATCATGGGAAGTGAATACCGTGAGTTGGAGAGTGGCGTGGAGAGACATAAGCGAGATATCATGGGAAATGATCCGAGATTCAACCCGAATCCTGAGCAGCAGGCGGTGCTGGGTAAGACTTCTCCTCGCTGAGTTTCGAGCGTATGTCCCTGACTCCCGATCTAGAAACAATATTTCCGCCAGCCTCGAAGTGGTAGAGGTTTGTGAGAAGGCCGCGCTGGACACTCACTGAGTAGCATGGAATTGGAGGGCGGTCAACCACTGGTCGAGCTGTGGGAACTCGAAAGTCACATCGTGTGCAGATTTGCAACCCGAGACTCTCCTGGCTTTTACCGCCGAGAAGGTTGTGGTGGATATTCGTGCCTCTCAGATAATACAGATATGGCTCTCGCCTCGGAATCGAGTGTTTGGACCCCAGTAATACCTACCCAACGCTTTGTCCTTTTTCCTGGTCGGAGGCTCTTTGATCGCTTCCACATCCTGGTCGAATAGGTTCATGATCTTGGTTAGCCCGACTCGTTTGTATCTGATCCCGTGGTCCCCATCGGTGGCCTGGATGAGAAGGCAGTTCAGATGCCGGTCATCTTGAGAAACTGGTAAACAAAAGACTTGTGCGTTGGGGCCGAATACCGAGGGTTCACTGGCAGGGCTGTCCAGATATACGATGGACTGAGAGTCGCCAATAGGTTGGCCCTTCTGCATCAAACGCCAGCTGAATCGGTTTCGCGGATACTCCGGCTCAGCAGGCCGTTGCTTGCGTGCGTGGAATCCCATGGTGACAAAGTGCACCGGGCTTAGAAGAGAGGATGCGAAGAGCAATGTCAAGATTAGTTTGTGCTGTTGCCAGGAGAGTGTTCTTCGGGTCACCATCGTCAGTAATATCGATATGCTGACCACAGTGACAGCGAGGAGCGCGGTACTCGGAGTATACCATTGCCACTGTGCATGTCAGTAAAGCACACCGGGAAGGTTGCTGGACGACAACTTGCCATAGACTTGCGTATCGAGGTCAACGAGCTCTGATCCTGCTCTGCATCTGTCAACTCGATCCTCCTCAACACGCCTTTGAGAACAAGATAGCCGTCAGTGAGAATGCCAAACATGTCATCCTCTGTGCGATAGGTTAGTCTGACTACCTGGACTTCCACCAGAATGCCCTTGTCTGTTGTCTCTGGAAAGGTGACACCACGAGAAGTTTCGACAGAGGCCCATGAGAAAGTGGGAGCACGATATTGCCGTGGTCGAGTGTCCGGCAGTGGCTGCGCCGTCTTCCCTTCTTCCTCGCCGTCGTTGACATACCACAGTAACTGGCTCGCAAGGTAATTCTGCCACATGCCGGCGAGATATTGGTCCTCACTTCCATCCAGTCTCAAGATCCTTGTCATCATTCTCGCAATGCCGGATAATGCTATGAGTCGGTCTCTCTCGTCGCTCAGTTCCATCTTGGTGTACACCTCGACCATCCGTTTCCAGACCTCGTAGAGGTACAGCTTCGGTTCAATGGCCTCTACCATCCATTTCAAGCCCTTGGTACGCGACGAACTGTGCAATGACGCCAGTCTCAGCTCGCGAAGCCGCCTGCCGACTTCCCGATCCATGGCCTTTAAACGGGCCTGGTCGACGAGCTGACCCGCCTTCATCTGAAGATGGGGAAGGCCTTCTGGACGGCATTCTGCTCTGTCGAGTTCGCGACATTCAAAGGCAATTTGATCTTTACACCAATGCAATACCCTTGGTGCCAGAAGTCGTTCCTGGAAAACCCAAGATCGCCGGTTCACTGGTGCATTGTCGACATATTGGTCCCAGAACGACAGATCGGAAATGGTACACTCAACGACCTTCTGTCCATCTCCTGAGAGGTCTTGTGTTCGAAGGCTCACTGTGTCGAACCATTTCCGATCGGGGTCCCGGCGGTTGAATAGACCTTCAGAGCCATCGATGGCTGCAGTGGCAGAGATGTTGCAGTGGCTGAAAGCATATACCTTGTCCATCTGCGAACTTTCATGGAGCCAATCCTGTTCGTCCCCTTGAATTATACAGAGAGCATCGATCCATATCCACCGCACACCTAACTCTCGTGCGAATTGCATTGCGTGCTGGAACGTTGTGGGGAGATGCTCTAACAGTATTGCAGTTTGCAAGTCGGCTCTATTCATATGTCGGAGCTTGGGGATTGTCATATGCCCCCATCGATGGCTCAAAGTAACATATCTCCCTTCAAAGAGTGGTTGGCCGTCCTTCTTCTCGGTATCCTTTTGTGACACCAGCCGTACGATATCCGTCTCAGCCTCCGGCATGGCTCGCAGGTCTATTAATCGTGTCGGGTACCATTGTATACTTGAAGCGGTCTGACATTTAGCATGGGTTCTTGCGCATACATCGATCCAATCTCTGGCCAGGTCGAAGACCTCTGGATCCGATGTATTTGCGCTTCTGGGAGTTGTTTGGAGATGGCTCGGCATGTTGGCGTCTTTATCCACGTCAGCAATCTCTGTAGAGGGACTGCAGCAATGGCAACATACCATTCTGTTTTAAGACGAAGCTTGCGACTGTCGTCTTGGTCTGTTCAAGCTTGATGTCCAGACGATAGACACCATTATAGCGAGGAAATCGTTGCAACAACGCACAGAGGAACCAGCTCCTCTCGAGACCGACCGGAGGGTTGATATGGAGATCTCTCAGTTTCTCGTCGATGACACGGCAGAGATAGCATTCTGCATCCTCGGCGGCGGCCTTGACGTTTTCTGCCGTTTCATGGTGCCAGAAACTCAGGGCCAGTTGTGAGCCAGAATCCCGGCGCCCCTTGTGTCCGTACAACATATCATGGCACACCTTGCAGACCATTGTGAAGAATCCAGAGGAATTCGAGATGGCATGGTTCCGGGCAGAGAGGGGAGCATTTGGAGCCAGGTGAAAGGACGTCCAAGTAGATGTATGAGGCTCTCCAGCCTTAGAATGTCCGGACGTCTGTCTGAAACAAGCATGGTTGAAGGAGCATGGCCCCGGGGCCCAAAACGCTTTGGGTTGTGCCAAACGCTCACTCCTCGTCCACTGTTGGTCCACTCCTTCCCGGGCAGTTAGCTGTAATTGGTACTGGTCGTCCAGATTGAAGTACAAGTGACTAGGTATGCAGCCTGGTCTCGGTAGAAGGGGGGCGATTCAGCTGGGGACCCAGGGCACCCCTTGACAGCAAATAGCAACGGAACCAGGCCCCCCAGTGCCTAGAAGCCGTTTCAACAGTAGCGCCACTCGTATGCATAGCACCAACCGTCGACGAACACCCAGACTCTCCAAGGGGGGCTGCGGCGCGCTTCGTATCTCCGGGACTTGCCGCTGGGTTGTTGCTCGTGTTGAGAATGTGAGCAAAACAATGCCAATCAATGTTGCACACTCCATTCGCCAATGTCCATTTGACTGTGTGCCACTGGCTTTGACCTATTTTTCGCAACTCTTGGTAGGCAGCAATTGAGCCTGATCAGATTTGCGGGACCCTTGAAAGGCTGCAGACAAATATATGCATATCTTTGCATTTCTCGCAGGTGATGGTGAGGTATTGACCAGCGGTTTATAAGTACCTGTGGCGCGTAGAGCAGAAACATATTCTTAGCCATCATGCCGTCGTTCATCCTGCCCAAAGTCTCTCCGAGCGTCGAGGTGACAATCCCGACGAACGTCACCCAGGACGAGCTGCTCGCATTCCGCCCCTTTAAGGACTGGCTCGCAACACTGCAGAAATCCATCAAGTTGCAAAAGTCCGAAGCTACACATGCCTTTTACGACAAAAAGGACCCCTATCAATTACGTTCGATCAATGTCCATTCGGTGGAATGGTTCGGGCCTCGCATCGGCTTTATCTTGATGGAGACAGTGGTGCAGAATGCCGCCGATCCACGACCATTGCCTGGTATCGTCTTCTTACGCGGTGGCAGCGTGGCCATCCTGATGATTGTCCGGCCAGAAGGGGACAGCGACGACAGATTTGTCGTCATGACTCAACAGCCCCGGATACCCGCTGGGAGTCTTACTTTCTATGAGATCCCGGCTGGGATGATTGACGAGTCGGGTACCTTTGTGGGCGCTGCAGCGACCGAGATCCGCGAGGAGACAGGCTGGAAAGTACCACAGGGGGAGCTCGTCGACATGACGGAGATGGCGCTGAGGAACTCCACAGGTATCGAAAGCCACTTGCAGAAGGCAATGTATCCCAGCCCTGGAGGGTGTGACGAGTTTATTGCCCTGTTCTTGTGGGAGAGGACCATGTCTCACAAGGAACTTGCCGAACTGAGAGGCAAATTGACTGGGAACCCCAAAGAAAGAGAAAAGATCAAGGTGAAGCTGGTCGAGTACAAAGAGCTGTGGAGGGAAGGAGCGAGAGATGCGAAGACGCTTTGTGCATGGGCGCTGTACGAGGGATTGACCAGGGATGGGATCTTGAAGTGAAGACGATGCTCGTTTGGTCCTCAAAGAACGAGCTTGCTGACGACTGCTGACCATTTGCGAGAGACTCTTGAGCGTCTTGGGAACCAGGTTTCATGTGCATAGACGTGGCTGCTATCAGGTATCTTTTCTTGTTGCCACACCAAGTTCTGCCAGAACCTGTGCTGGCCCCAGCTTTTGCCATTGCTCCAGCTGTTGTGTATTCGTCATCCAGACCATGCCCATCATACCAGCAGCGTTGGCACTCGCTCCTTGCACTGCCACTCTTCGCCGGGGCACAACCATCATCCACCTTTTCGTAAGCATCATGTTGTGAGGGAAGTAGTCGAGAGTGTCCCCGGAACAGCTTTGCCAGACCGTGTACGCCTCGTTGCGTAGCCTCTCGTATACTGGAAGCAAAGAGTCTAGTGTGCTCTCTGCTTCAGGCTGGAGAGGTTGGATAAAGTAGCTGAACGGAATGTTCTCGGGATTGAGTGCGTCCAGGTCGGGAAACAGCGTCAAGCCGTCCGAGCAAGGAATCACCTGCATGTGTTTGTGGACTCTGCTGCAACCGGCCTCGTTCCCGCAGTTGAACATGATAAAATGCTCATGGCTCAATTGGTTAAGAACAACCCATGCGGCCGAGAGATCCGTCTTGTCGAGATTCTCCGTCTGTCGCCTGAACGAATCGAGCGTCAAGATCAGGTACTGTGGTCGAAAGACGGCGAAACGGTTCAGAACCAGAAGATGTGACCCATGGACCTTGGTCACAATGAGGGCT